GCCTCTAAAGCACTGTAGTATTATTAATAAAAGTAACATTTCATGTTTGGGGAAATTTTACTGTTTTATTCTATTTCCTACGCTTTCAAAATTGTGTTGTTATCCTCCTAATAATCCTTCCCAAATCCCTTAAGAACATTTCGATGCACCTTTCAATCCACCAAAATGGCTTCTGGTCTACACGGTTTTCTTCCTGCTCTTATTCATTTAGGGTTCAGATATTTAGATATTTTTCTAATTTCCTGTGGGTGGGCAGAAAGAGGCAGAGACGGGGAGAATACTGTACATGGGATAAGCAACAATTTGTCACCTCTTACACTGAATTATTTTTAAATTATTCTCTACTGAAGATGTAAGGAGGGGTGATGGCAATTCACCTCACAGCACTCATTTCAGAAGCTACAGTAAAGACAGATATTCTTCCACCTCTAGTATAACCCTTTAAAAATGAGAAATTCCCAGAAAAAGACTCATATTAAAAGTCAGAAGGATAAGAATGTTAAACTAGGAATATGCGGTGTAAACTAAAGATATAAGTCAGCGTTGTCTAATCCTCAATTTTGCCCAGAGCCAACCCAGGATAAACAAAAAACTTTAAATCTTGTAATGTGGCACTCAAAGCATAAAAACCAAGGTTGCTATCTTTTAGCTTAAACTAATCTACCCTGGAAACCTATCCTGAAAATGGCCAGAAAATTACCATATATAAACCCCAAAATAGAAGGTAAAGCAGTGATCAGTAAAAACACTGTTTCCAGTTTTAGCTCTAGCTAAACCCAGATTCACAAAGGGTCTCTTGTGATAAATGATTCCTTTTCAACTTTTTTAATATAAGTAATAATTTGTTGACATTTTTCCTTAAAGTTACTGTAGGCTGTCTGGGATTGCTCCACTCCAATTAAACCAATGGAATTCAGTTAGAAGCAAACTTACTTGAGACAGCCAATGATTTGAAAATGCTATTTGATAAGCTTAATCCTTGTTTTATTTTTTTAACCGCCTGATGAGGAAAAAATATAGATATTCATATTTATATAAAATTACGGCTAAATTTGTTGTCCTTATTTTTTGATGAGTGTATCTTCTAAGTGTTTCATCTATTTTATTTCAATTAATTCTCAGATCCACCTTTATGTAATAGACACTCTGACTACCTCCATGCTACATATGAGCAAGGCATGGAAGTTAAATAATTTGCTCAAGTCACAAGGCGAGGAAGTAGAAGAGCTGTCTCCAGGGCCCACATGCTTATGCAACTGCCTTTGCAAAATTATGACTGAGCCAGTGAAAAAGATCTAACCTAACTGGCTCCATCTTGCTTTCTAAACTTTAAGTTGTCCTTGTTCATTCCCGCCTGTAAGCTTAACTAACTTTGAGAGAAACTTAGTTTATAGTTTATAGTATAAAACAAAGATGGTAACAGTCCTTTTCCAAAACAAACCTACTTCTTGCCTGGGAACTAGAATGCCTTTGTAGGACTAACAAATTAGCCATAAGGTTAGAAATTATGGTTTAGGTGTCATACAGCTAGAGGGTACAAGATTCTGACCCTCCCTAAACTGCTCCTAAATCAGTGCTTGAGATATTTTGTAGACACTACACTTGATGGATCAACTGGCATCACCCAGATCGATTAACTGGCTCATCTGATCTTGTGGCCCCCATCCAGGAACTGATTCAGCACAAGAGGACAGCATCAATTCCCCATGATTTCATCTCCTACCTAACCAATCAGCACGCCTGGTTTGCTGGCTTCCCAACCCACCAAGTTGTCCTTAAAAACTCTGATCCAATGCTCAGGGAGACCGATTTGAGTAATAATAAAACTCTCATCTCCCGCACAACTGGCTCTGCGTGAATTACTCTTTCTCTATTGCAATTCCCCTGTCTTGATAAATCCGCTCTGTCTAGCCAGCAGGCAAGGTGAACCCATCAGGTGGTTACACTTATATAATTCAAATAAACACAAAGTATTTCATTTGTGTAAATGATGGTTTAATGTTTTTCAATTATAATATGTTCAGTCAACATGATGTTTTGCTTTTTTCATTTCTTGAAAGTTAGAGTCACATTTTCTTACGGACTTGCTCTTTTATGTTTTCTCTCATTAGCTGGGTGCATAAATTTTCTGACATTCGGAATCAGTCTAGTATAACCTACCTCCCTCTATTTTAAGAAACATTTATGGCTATTTCCTTTTGGAAGCAAGAGGAGAATATAAGACGCTTTTGTTTCACAACAGTTTATAAAATGATGTTTTCTGGTTATTGTTTCAATTTTTGAAGATATTATTTCAAAGTATTTGTTACACTCAGAGTCAGGCATTGTTACCAATGTATGTCATTTTATCTGTTAAATTGTATTTTCTCTCTTATCAGTTTAGTCCTGAAGAATACCTCTCCTGTCAAGCAACTATGATGTTGCTTCTTTGTTCTCTAAATAGTTTAGAATCTCTTCCAGAAGCTAGAAGAGTTTCATGATAATAGTGTTCCAGGATAACATTTTAAAAATGTTTTTAACTGAAGTATTTTCATTTTAGCCTCAGCTATTTTAAGTAGATAGGCTTGGTCAACTAGTAAGCAACCATTCTTCCAAAAATGTGATAGTCAACAATCTGCTCTCAATCTGTTACAGATTTTTTGCGTTCAGTTGTAGTTCTGTGTGCAAATGTTGAAGAAGGAATCTGAGTTCCTGTTATAAATGTGTCTCATAAATAATGTTTTTATTCAGCCAGTGAAATTTTATGTATTTTTTTAAGTTTCTGGAAAATATTAAAATATTCAAAAATAATGTGGGCATCAAAAGCCTTAAGTTTATTGTCAAGTGCTAATTAATCTCAGGAGAATTCATTTCCTTATTATTTAATGATATTCAGCAATCTCTTCTAATGAATGGCATTTGGTGACTTGATAATTACCATCAATTTCTTGTTTTCCACCTGTTATCATACAGGCTTTATTTTTTTATTTTCTATTCTGTAAAACAAATAAAAAATAAAGCAGTTCAGTAACTACTAATGTCCATTCTCTTGGGTAAATTTGTGATTGTTTGAGAGAAACGGAATAAAAAAATCCTCAGGGAGCAAGTTTTACATTGAGCAACTGCTGAAATTCCTGAAATACTACACATTGCCTGGTGTTTTTCAGCACAGGATAGTTCTTTGTTTGCAGCTTTTTAATGTTTGCAGCTTTTAATTGGGTTGATCACTATGGTCTATTATGTGATTTCCCCTCATGACATGATTCCTGTTCTCAATCGCTTTATGATCTAAGGTGACATGACATCATCTTGACAGTATATATATCAAGTTAGAAATACAATTTGCATGTATCTTTAAAATTCAATTGTAATTTTTCTATTTTTTAAGTATAGACATACACATTTTCTGTCTCATAACAATTGCCAGACAAAAGATAAATGAAGTGTATGTGGTTTTAAGTCTCCCACAGCTCAAGTATTTTCTAATTCTTTTGCAGAAATGTCACCTTAAAATGGTTTAAGAGAGGTGGAGATGAAAGATCAATTGTGCAAAGCCAGATATATGGTTTATTCATTTCCTTTAGCTAGGGAAAGAACAGCTAGTCAAAGTGGCAAGGTCAGGTAAAGAAAAGATATTCGAGTGAAATTTAGGGATAAAGCAAGGTAAAAATGTATTTTGATTTATTAACTATTAAATGTAGCATGTTCCTAATAAAACATTTGAAATTGCTGATATTTGAATATTTACTATATTAAAATTACTTTTATATTTTTCCATTTAATCCTCACTATAACCTCACAATAATAAATGAAGTGCAAATACCAACTGGGCCAAAATTAATCAACTAGTCTGTTGCAGAACAGAGATTTGAACTGAGCTCTGACTGATTCCAGAGCTCATGGCCTTTCCATTACACAATGCCACTTCATTAAAATAGACAAAAATTATTCTATATAGATATGTTTATTTTCCATATTAAAAATAAATTGTTAATATCCTTCTAACAACAAGAGTTGCTTAAGCCCCCTAAGTTTGTACTTTATAAGAAAAAACAAATATCTAAAACACAGCTAAATATGATGAAATATTAGACACATGTTTTATTTTCTGCAGTCTGTATATCTTACGATTTCCCTTTATACAACAAACTCTATATGGTGCAACAGCGAATTGCTTTGAAGTTAAGTTATAACTATTCACCTTTCTTGGTAATGACTAGAACTAGAATCTATTATTTAGAATACTTGTCAGAAACGTCTGTGTCAATCCCAACTGATAATCAGACATGGTTCCTGTAGCTCTCCATGCAAAACAAATGAAGCCTGTCCACGTTAAATTTTGCTTCTTATAATTTGGCAATTTCTGTGTTTTAATTCGGTAATAATTCTCACATGCTTTATGAGGTCTGCTGTTCCTAACTTTTTCATTACTTTTCCCTCCACTATCAGATAGTGCCCCACACTTGTCATATACAACAGAGTATTTTTATTCATCAGACCCTGACCTTTGGTTGCCCTTTTTCATTTTTATTCCTTTGTCTTTTCACTGTAAAATTCCAAAGCTTTTATTTTTATAGTAGATAAATGTGATTTTTTTTTAAGGAAAGCCACTTAGGAACCAAATAATAAAAGTGGAAGTTTTAAAAAAGATATTATCACAAAGATGTTAAAGAAAGTGAGAACAGCTTTCTATTTAGACCATTATTCGACCATCAGAAGATGCTTTTTTTGCTTTCACCCATTACTATATAATGTGTTGAAGTATAAACAAGCTCTCATAATGAAAAAAGAGTGGTATCTCTGTGTTTTTTTAATATAGCACCTCGTACTTTAATTTGGGTTACTAGGCATTTAATCAAGCTATCAGATAACAATACTTCCACCAGCCCCCAAAATATTTTACCAGTCTAACTTTTCTCTAAAAGGCACACATAAGAAAATTAATATTAATGATAAATGAATTAATAAATAAATAAAATATATCTCCAATAAATATTTATTGTCTGTTTTATGCTACTTACTGAGTAAAATAGAGACATACAGAAGTCATTGTCACTGTCTTGCAGAAGTTCACAGTCCTAGAAGGTGGATGCAGATTTTAAAAATTTGCACATAAACAGAAGATTTTTTAAAAGTAAGTGCTTTATGGCAACTTTCTGGAAGATTTAATGAGGACCTACTTACAAGTTGTCCTAATCACTTAAAGTAGTTAATTTGAATCAGAAGCTCTGCAGTATCTAATGACATTGAAGCCTAAAACAAATTATTGTGGAAGGCAAAAGGAAGAAGCAGGCAGAAAATGCTGCAGCCTCTAGGTCTTCAATGTTGAGGGAGCTATGAAGTCAGTCTCCTTTTCTTTGACCACCTACACCCTTTCTACTATTCTTTCAGTTATTAAACCTTCCTTTCTCCACAGGAGCTCTGGCCTAGATCAAGTAATTATTGTGTGTAAATGCTCTTAGTTGTTACATACACTTAAGCGCTTCCTATCCTCCTTTGTTGTCAACTTATTATTTCATGTATGTATATTTTTTCCTCATTAAGTAGATTATAAGACCTCTGAAAGCAAGGACCTTGTTTGAAAATGTCTTTATATGTCCTATAACAATGAGAACAATGCTAAGTGTTTAGTAGGAACTCATAAATACTTGTTTGTTATTTGAATTAAAGTTTTATTTCTGGAAAGATGAAAAAATAATTGACTAGAACTCGCTCTAGCCCTAGACACTTCCCACCAGTGGGACTATCTAGAATCCAACAAGAAATAGGTTCCAATGACAGAAGCCAGACATAAACATAAGGTGAGAGAATCAGGGTATGTCTTAGCAAAGAGTCTTTGAGATACAAATTGAATCAGCTACACGTATAAAGGCCAGTCCTCTGCATAATAACAACCAATCAAAACCAAAACCAAGTATTCTTTGTTTTTTTAACTATACTAAACTGGAGAAAATGTATTCATGGCATTATGCATAATTGTGAGTTATGAATAGTGTTAAAATTTATAAAAACATATAAATGAATTATTCCTTTGCAATGAAGAAATGCAAAAAATACATTACAAAACAAAATATTAATTTATATTGAATTTAAAACATAATTCAACATCTTCCTGTGCAAATAATGTTTCTCTTTAGCCTCATTCTAGTATAGCTAAAATAAAGGAAAATGAGTAGCATTTCTATGTGTAAAAAGCAAACATGAATTGGAAGAATCAATATTGTTAAACTGTACATACTAGCCAAAGCAATCTACAGATTCAAAGTAATACCTACAAAAATATTAATAACATTCTTCACAGGAAGAGAAAATGCAATTTTAAAATTTACATAAAACCACACAAAGACCCACAATAGCCAGAGAAATCCTGAGCAAAAAAACAAAACTGGGGGCATCACATTACCTGACTTCAAATTATACTACAGAGCTATAGTAACCAAAACAGCATGGTACTGGCATAAAACCAGACACATAGACCAATAAAACAGAAAAAAAGTCCATGCATTTACAGTCAACTTATTTTCAACAAAGATGCCAAGAATATACACTGGGAAAAAGACACTCTGTTTAATAAAGATGCTGGGAAATCTAGACATCTTTATGCAGAACAAGGAAACTATATCCCTATTGTCATATACAAAAATCAAATTTAAATGGATTAAATATTTAAATCTAAGACCTGAGACTATGAAACTACTTTTAAAAATTGGAGAAATGCTTCCCAACATTGGTCTTGCCAAAGATGTCTTCAATGTGACCTCAAAAGCACAGACCAAAGCAAAAATGTACAAATTGGATCATGTCAAGCTAAAAAGCTTCTGCACAGCAAAGAAAACAATTACCAGGGTGAAGAGACAATCTAAAGAATAGGAGAAAATATTTGGAAACTCTTCAACTGACAAGGGATTGATAACCAGGGTATATAAAGAACTCAAACAACTCAATAGCAAAAATTAACAAATAATCCTGTTAAAATTGATCAAAAGATCTGAATAGACATTTCTCAAAAGAAGACATAAAAATGTCCAACAGGCATATGGAAAAATGCTTAGCAATCATCAGAGAAATGAAAATTAAAACCACACGGAGATACCATCTCATCCCAGTTAATACCATTTTTAACAAAACAACAAAATAATGCATGCTGGTGAGGATGTGGAGAAATGGAAACACTAGTAGGCTTCTCAAAGAAGTAAAAATAGGACTGCTATAAGATCCAGCAAGCCCACTACTCGGTATATGCACAAAAGAAAGTAAATTGGTGCATCAAAGAGATATCTGCACCACCTTGCTTATAGCAGCACTACTCACAATAGCTAAGATTCAGAAGCAACCTAAATGTCCATCAATTGATTAATGGGTAAAGAAAATGTGGTGCATATACACAGTGGAGTACTATTCAATCATAAAGAAGAGTGAAATCCAGTCATTTTCAACAACATGGGTGAAACTGGAGATTAATATGTTAAGTGAAATAAGCCAGGCAAAGAAAGACAAATATCACATGTTCTCACTTTTTGTGGGATCTTAAAATCAAAACAATTGAACTCTTGGCCAAAGAGAGTGGAAAGGTGGTTACCAGAGGCTGGGAAGGGTAATGGAGGGATTAGGGGAATGTGGGAAGAGTTAATGGATATATAAAATTGTTAGAAATAATGTGTAAGATCTACTGTTTGATAACACAACTGTAATAACTTAATTGTACATTTTAAAATAACCAAAAGAGTGTAATTGGATTGTTTGTAGCACGAATAATAAATACTTGTGGGGATGGATACCCTATTCTCTGTGTGATCGTTTCACATTTTATGCCTGTGTCAAGACATTGCATGTACCCCATAAATACATACACCTACTATGTGTCCACAAAAATTAAAAATTAAAAAATAAAAGAACAGGCAGAATAAACACCAGGTTATTATCAGTAGGTAATCAAACTGTATAGTCACAAGTTAAAGCAATAAATGCTTTACATTTAAATCATTTCACACTTTCGAGAAGATTGAAGAACAGAGATTTTCATGCCTTTACACTAGTGAAATTTTAAACTGTGGATGAAAACTTTTTGGATCAATATTAAAATGTATATTATTTTGTACTATTGAAACCTAATTTTAGGCAGATTGATATCATAACGTAACCTGAGGGGGAGTGGGGGAAAGAGTTCATCACAAAACGTTTAAGCCCAATGTCACAAAAAAGTCAGTGGTTGCATTGGGTTGTAATTCTTAGATTATTCATGAGGAATTCAATCAACCGAAGTTAAAAAAGAATGTACTAGTCAAGCATAAGGTTTGCCTGAAAGGACAAGTTTTAATTAAGCCCAAAGTTTTTCAATGTTTGGAGAAAAGAAAGTTTCCAGGCTCAGAGAGGGATGGCCTTTGTAGACCTGTGCATAGACGAGCCACTTCACACTGGTCAAAGACCACTTTTATGTGGTGCTCTACCTGAATACAAGCTTTGCCTTATTGCCATAAAAGGAACAGAACCAGGCTACTCTGGAATTGAAACTAAGCCTTTTCTTTCCCCTTTATAATGGATTTCTTACCCTGTTTTTTAAATGTTATAACAATATATAGAAAGAAAAATCCAGGAAAGATACTCACCAAAATATTGCTCATGGTTTTTTCTTTGTGTGTTTATTTATAAATTATGTGTTTTATTTTTCCCAATTTTATGAATATTTTGCAATGAGCATGAATGACCTATAAGAAAAAAAGATGAATTATTCTTTCAAAGTTCGTAAGACATACACAGCTGGCAACACTACAGCTCCATGGAAGTCTGGAATAAAGAGAAAATCTAGGAGGCAGAATTGAATGATTTCTGCTCATTGAATTCAGTAGATTACAAAGCTTACACAGTCTTAAGGGTGAAGAAAATAACAATAGACTATTGAGCTCTCATAATGGGCCAGGTACTGTGCTAAGCCCTTTATATCTCATTTGATATTCACAAGGCCACACTGCTAGTAAGTAGTAGAGCTGGGACTTAAAGCCAGATCCGTTTAATTTTAAATCCGATGGTTTTAACCACTACCCTAATACTACCTTCCCTCAGCTCTACCACAGTCAGAAACAAACAAACAAACAAACAAACTCTAGAGGGTGACTATAGTTAACAATAATTTATTGTATATTTTGAAATAACCAGAAGAGGCCGGGCGCGGTGACTCATGCCTGTAATCCCAGCACTTTGGGAGGCCGAGGCGGGCGGATAACGAGGTCAGGAGATTGAGACCATCCTGGCTAACACGGTGAAACCCCGTCTCAACTAAAAATACAAAAAATTAGCCAGGCGTGGTGGCAGGCACCTGTAGTCCCAGCTGCTCGGGAGGTTGAAGCAGGAGAATGGCGTGAACCCGGGAGGCGGAGGTTGCAGTGAGCCGAGATCGTGCCACTGCACTCCAGTCTGGGCGACAGAGCGAGACTCCATCTCTAAATAAATAAATAAATAAATAAATAAATAAATAAATAAATCCAGAAGAGTAAAATTGAAACTTTCCTAACACAAAGAAATCATAAATGACTGCGGTGATAGATACCTCAATTACCCTGATTTTACCATTACACATTGTATGCTTGTATCAAAGTGTCACATGTACCCTATACATATCTACAACCATTATGTATCATAATAATTAAAATTAAAAACTTAGGAAAAAACCCTCAGCTTAATCACACCTCAAATAATTTAATTGTAATGAATAATGAACTATTTTCTCTAACACAAAAACATTAACATATTTGTTCTGCAATGCTTATTTCATTTATTGAAATATTTTCTGTAACCTTCTTACTCCAACGTTTCCAGACCTCATCCACTTTATCCAGTTGTTGCTTGAATACAACACATACACACATACATACATACATAAAAATAAAAATCAATAAAATACAAACACAACTACTAAGGAATGATTATTTGTAACACAGAACCATATCTGGTCCTCAGTTGTACTTCACATTTCTAAGGAATTAGATATGAGAAGTCTACACATTATACCTTTATTACTTAGAGGAATTCCAAAAGACTGTTATTTAGAATTTAGAGATCATAATGTTATGAATGGTAGTTGCATTCCTGGACCATCACAGAAAACCTATTTAACCCAAAACATAGCTAGTAAGTAGTACTAGGCTGAGCGATACATCCTGGGAGCTGGAAATCCTGCAGTTCTAGATGTATAAGTTTTTCCTTTCATTTTATTGAATAAAAGACTAACATGGAGCAAAATTTCAAAATCATATGTTTTTAAGTCATTGACCAACTGCATCTTCCCCAGCTGTATCATTTTGTCTTTTTATATCACAAAAATCCAAGGTCAATTTGGAAATGCAAGATGCCAATTAAAGTTTTGCCTTTTGATTACACTTGAATAATCGGTTCCTTAATCTTAAGGATAAATGTGGTTAGTCTAATAGGTTCACTGCTGAAGACTTTTGTAATCCCCACCTAGCAATCCAAGAAGGTCAAAACAATAAAAAAAAAATTAATCAAACTTCTTCTCTGTGGCTTTTCAGCAATAAATCTCTAGAAAAAGTAAAGAGCCAACCACCTACATCAAGAAAAATGAGAATTATAAAATTGCAAATATTTCTGAGTGCCATTTATATAGGAAATATTTTTTTCAGAAAATTACTCATGATCTATTCAGCTCCTCTAGAAAATTATAAGCAAATAAATTATTTGTACAATATTAAGTATTACTACTCAAAGTAGCTTCCTCCAACCATTCTCCATTTACTCAAATCATATTCATTCTTCAAAGATCAACTCCAATGTTTCCTTTCTTGTGAAGCCTGCATCACTCATAGAAATTTATTTGCAACTATAGCATGATTCTTGTCACATCTACCCTGTATTATAGTTTCTCATATAGATGTTTCCCCCCTAAAAATAATAGCTAGTATTCATTGAAAACATCATTTATAGCAGGAACTATTCCTATCACTTTACATACATTAATTTGTTTAATTCTCACGACAATTGTAACAGTTAAGCATTATTTATCATGCCCATTTTATAGACCAGAAAGAGAGATTATGTAACTT